AACATTGTACATTGTAAATGAAGGCTCTCAGTTTGCGGTTGCTGAACTTTTATATATAATCTGCTGTGAGTAGTAGCCATGAAATCACAAAAAGTTGGTTAAACATAGGGTATGACCTTAAAGTTTTACTCTGCAGCCTTGTTATATACGAATGCAGTTTTTTTTGGTCTTCTAAGATTGTTCTTGTCAGATGTTTGACTCAAGAGTTTCTGCATTTGGGCCTCTAGGCTAGTAACACGCATATGCTCATGTCCATTAAACTAAGGTGAGTCTGGCCCCTTTTTGTAAATGAGAATAAAAAAATTTAAACCTGAACAGCAAGATGGGACTTTCAGTATCTAAGCACTTAAGCAGTGACTTACTGGAAATTATTTCCTGGATGGCGAATGATTGTTTGTTTCACATCTGTTACTCAATTGGGTCAGTCACAGACTCACTGCTAACGTCATTAACTGATCTCTTACGATAACTGATTTACTTTGTATAATTTATCGTGGTTTCTGTGTATCTAAGAGGCTTTCTTGTATGTTTCAGATACAGCAACTTCTAGGTGTTCGACATTCACGATACAACAAGTTGGCTACACTGAAACCCACTGAAGCGCAGAGATTTTTGTTGCCTGTTTCTGAATGTGAATTTAGCATTACATCTGCAATAGAGGACCTGAGTTCTATGTCTGCTTGCCCACGGGGGCATCGCCCATTAAGGGCTACTGGCGCTGCTATTTCCACAGCTGTTGCTCTTCTGGAAAGTTGCTGCTCACCTTACACTGGTGGCCGAATCATGGTTTTTACATCTGGTCCCACGACAGTGGGTCCAGGACTTGTGGTGGAAACCGATCTCGGGAAGGCAATTCGTTCGCATCGTGACATTTTCAATGGCAATGTGCCTCTTGTTGAAAAAGCCCAGGATTTCTATAAGAAGGTTGCCAAGAGATTGACAGACAGTGCATTAGTTCTTGATCTTTTGGCTTGCTCTCTTGATCAGATTGGAGCTGCAGAGCTTAGGTATCCAGTTGAAGTGTCTGGGGGCTTAATGGTGCTTACAGAGTCATTTGAGTCTGAACAGTTCAAAAGCTGTTTAAGGCAAACCTTCAAGCGTGAGGGTACTGATTACCTTAACATGAACTTTAATGCAACGATTGAGGTAGTGACATCAAAGGAGGTCAAGATTTGTGGTGCCCTTGGTCCTTGCATCTCCCTTCACAGACAAAACAGCTCGGTTAGTCATAAAGAAATTGGTGAGGGTGGGACAAATTATTGGAGAATGAGTACATTGAACAGCAAAACCTGTATTGCTTTCTTCTTCCGAGCTGATTGTAGCCGTGATACCGATCCCCCAACTGTCTTCTTTATTCAGTTCATGACAAGATACCGACATGGTGATGGTAGCAATCGCCTAAGGGTAACGACTGTTGCGAGAAGATGGGCTGGACCTCGATCTCCAGAAATTGCTGCAGGGTTTGATCAGGAAGCTGCTGCAGCAGTTATGGCCAGGCTTGCTGTTCACAGAGCAGAGACATACCATGTTAGAGATGTAATACGATGGCTTGACAAGATGCTTATTCGCTTCACTGCTAAGTTCGGAAACTATGTCCCTGAAGATCCATCTACATTTCGCTTGTCCACTAATTTCTCCCTGTATCCGCAGTTCATGTACTACCTGCGAAGGTCACAGTTCATTGATGTTGGCAACAGCTCTCCTGATGAAACTGCTTTCTTCCGGTTGATGTTGAATAGGGAGGGAGTTGTGGGATCCCTGATCATGATCCAGCCAACTTTATTCCAGTACTCATTTGATGGACCACCTATCCCTGTGCTGCTAGATGTCAGCTCCATCTCTCCTGATGTCATTTTGCTATTTGATTCGTACTTCTATATAGTGATTCATTATGGCTCGAAGATTGCTCAGTGGAGGAAACTTGGCTATCATAAAGACCCAAATCATGAGAACTTACGGAAGCTGCTTGAAGCACCAGAAGTTGATGCAGAGGCACTATTGGCAGACCGTTTTCCAGTGCCAAAACTCATAAAATGTGATCAGCATGGGAGCCAGGCCAGGTTTTTACTAGCCCGATTGAATCCATCTGTGACACAGAAATCACAGCTTTCTGAAGGATCTGAAGTCATATTCACCGACGATGTTTGTCTGCAAGTTTTTATTGAACACTTGCAGGAGTTGGCTGTTCAGGGTTAGCGACGCATGGACCTGCCCATGGTTCCGCTATCTCAGTTGGGCCCATCTCAGATCCTGAAGATACGGCTTTGTGATAGATGGAATGTCATATTCACGGGTGGTGTTTACTTGCAAGTTTTATTGAACGCTTGCAGTAACTGGCTGTACAGGAATAACGAGTCCATGTGGAATTAGTTACATGTTATTTCTGGCCGTATGTTATCTTGAAAATATTGCCAGAGCTCTACTGCCTGGAGGAATGAGATCTCCTTGATTTGTACATTTGCTCCAGCTCCAGTTTGATGTAAGCCAGTTACCTTTTAATTTTTGTATAGACTGATGTTATTAATCTTTACCCCCCATGAGCGTTGAGATGCCTCTGGTTACATTTGATATGCAGTAAATCACTCTACCATTCTTGTTTTAGTTATGCGGTAGGATAGTGACCATATTTTAAGGAATTAATGTCTAGATGCTACTCCCTCCGATCCAAAATAAGCGTCACAGTTTTGAACTAAGGTTAGTTCAACCTTGGTTCAAAACTGCGACACTTATTATGGATTGGAGGGAGTATTTTATAGGCATCCGCATAATACATCCTTTCAGCAGTTCATTTCTATTACGCAAACAGTGACATGTAGATGCCTCTGATCGTCTTCACACAACATCTGCATATTCCTTTTGAGGATGTGATTGCACAGCTGTGTGATTCCAATTGTATGTGACATCTTGCAGACCAACCATGATACATGCATCCTATATAAACATTTCCCTGCCATAAATGCATGATGAATAGACTATGTTTGATTAGCTTATGCAATGTACTTAGCCCTGTTATCACCACAACCCTGGCAGAGCAAGGAAGCTTCTTGCTATGATCGTACCCATCATTCCTCAAGACCCAACCTTCTCAATAACTCAATGACAGATAGGCTAAGTTATAGTAATGGATTTCCCATCACCAAGCACATGGCTTGTTCCCCTCCACTTGACCACGCACAGATTACAAAAATAGTGTGCTTATAATTAACAAACAGGTTAACTTACAAGATACCATAATAATAATAGTCTCATTGATGCCCTTTACTTAACAATCACACATACTTAATTGACAACAGTAGAATAAAATCACCAAGTAGATTCTGGGACACATGGTAGGGAACATCACATAACACCAATCCAGCTACACACAGATAGATTATTGCTTCTGGTCCACCAACAAATTAAACATGGCAACTCTCCCTTCTTTTAATCCAGCTAATAATTGAAAACATTATATATCTAAGAAACCATAGCACACTGCAAGAACACCATCCTTGTGGCATCATAGTCTTCCTCTTACTGCCCCATCTTTAGCTCTTGTTCTTGTACTTGTCCTTGGCCCTTGGTGCTGAAACAAAAAAGTCCCATGGGGGTTAGAATTAAGATATAACTCTTGAATTTCTAAGAGAATTTTGGCTGAAGAAACTGACCAAGACCGATGGCTTCGGACCCCTTCATGATCCTCAAGCGTTTGCATGAAGCAACAAACATCCTGCAGGGTAATTTATCATCAGCCGACGAAAGAAACTGGAGCGTGGACCTCGCTTAATTGCATTCTAAGCACGGGGTCGTAAATACGGGAGTAGATAAGGGGGCGCAGGAGTGAAGTAGCATACTCCCATGGGACGTCTCCAACAAGCATCCAGTCTCCATCCTTGTCTTCGTAAGTAGTAACAACATCTGAACCGTTCACTGCCTCAACCATCTTCCCCTCATTCCCTGGAAAAAAATAGTTGATGATTGTGGCACTCGTTGATTCAAACTAAGCTCCCTCCATACCAGTCGAGGCAAAATCATTAACATGAGTTGATAATATGCTCTTGCAGGTTCTGATGCCGACGGTGACGGATCTTACCAGTTGCGGTGAAGGTGCTGAACATCTTCTGCAGAGCAATGGAGAGGTCCTTGTAGGTGTTGTACATCTTGAGATCCACCTTGCGCAGGTAGGGCGCGCCGTCCATGCTCACCTTGACAAAGTTGGAGCCGTTGGCACCAGCAGCAGCGGCAGCAGCAGGCTGCTGCTTCTCGGTCTCCTCCTCCTTGATCTTCACCGACTGGACGGTCATGGCGTTCCTGCGGTACGACCGGACTGGTGGCCAACCCACGGCCTGTGCCCTGGTCGACGCATAACAAGCGAAATTAGCCACAAATTTTACATTTACCACTTGCAAATCAGTTCGTAACATAATCTAGTTCCAAGTCCAACCCACTGGTGCTGTAAAAACAAATAAGATTCTCCATTGCAATTGTAGCTGGAGGTTCCATCCATCTCGATCACGCACGTTACTATATTCCTTCCGGCAGCCAGCTCCGTTTAACTAATCTATGTACGCCTGTGGCAACTTTATGGTAGTAAGTAGTACCACTATCATTATGGTGTATAATGAAAACGGCACCAACTTTAGCCAAACGCCACATGAATCATGGCCAGCATGATTATCCACAGCCTCAATCATCTATCTTCTACAGATTAAACATGTCTTCGTTTCCAGAACGGAGAATGAAACTGCTAATAACGCTTCCTTTTTGCAGTGGAATCTGCCAAGAAATGGAAAGTGTATGCAACATCATTTTCTTGCCCTCTCTGACATGTACCGGCTGCCGCACAAAGCAGGCATCAAGTGCGCATATGTTTATGGTTCGGAAAGGCGTTAATAATTCGCGTCGGCGCTTTGGAGGCGACAAACAACACACAGCGGATGGTGTCGCCTTGCGCGCTTTCTGCCATGGGATCTCCTTTGTGGATATTTTGCCCTACTTAAAGCGTTTGCCCATTTGCATGTCATGTTTTATTCAACATCCTGTAAGTATATAACGAATCCAAACTCGAGAAAACTAGTTTATAATGGGGAAAAAGATTAAAGGCCTGCACATGCTCGAGCTCTACATATGTCTAACTATGTCTATATTTGTGGATCTTTAGCTAAACAACCAGAATGAAAAGAAGAAGGAAAGGAGATAATTAATCAGGTTCCATGCATAGAATCTATACTAGAGAAAACTTACACATGTTCAAACTCTACATATGTCTAATTATGTCTGCACTTAGTATGGATCTTTTGCTAAACAACCAGAATGGAAAGAAAAGGAAAGGAGATAATCAGGTTCCGTTCGTAGAAGCTAGAAAAATCAAATTAACAAAACCAACAACCTACCATAATAAGTTGAAAATGATTATGTGTGATAAAGAAGCATATGCAGGCATACTTGGGAGCAGGTGGCTTCTCGGGGTCGGCGGCCGCGGCCTCAGCGGGCCTCTTGGCCTTGTCGGCGGCTGGCTCCGGCTTGCCGGCAGAGTCTTCCTGCATGCCGCCGGTGGGCAGCGTGAGCTTCAAGTCAATGGTGTCCTCATAGCCCCTCTTCCCGGCCTTGGCCGCCTCGGCGCCGCCCCCGGGCAGCCCGAGCCTGAGCTCCGTCCCGACGTCGACGTCGGCGCCAGCCATCGGCTCCGGCGGAGCAGCTGGTCGGCTAGCTAGCCCGTGCTTGGGTCTCCCACCTTGGACACCTCCACTCGAGCTACTCGAGCAGCTGCTGATCTCTTGGCTTCTCTTTCTCTCTCCGTGTATGCAAGATGGCTTGTGATTAGGAGATGGAGGTGGTGGAAGAGAGAGAGGAAGCAAGAACTGGGTGGGGGTGCGTATATATAGAGGGAAGAGAAAGAGGGAGGAGAGATGAAGTGGTGAATGCTCTGCTGGTAGGGTGGTAGAGAGAGAAAGCTGTGGGGTTACTAGAACAACAGTTAGTTAGAGCATGAGTGAGCCTACTTGGAGGTTGGAGCCAATAATTTTTGTTTCCATGTTTCCCCGGCTTGGATTGTCTGCTCAACGACTGATGCAAGCATAGGTGTTGCCGTGTTGCCAGTTAGCACGGTGTGGAGGTCTACCAACTTGGATCCAGTGCTATGAAATGTCAACAGGGTGGTGAATGTTGTAGGCCAACAAATAAGTGGTTTGCTACTTGCTAGTAGTATAATTTATTAGTGGGTCGAAATATAATTAGTCACCAGCTAAATTCCCCAAGGGAGATGAGCTGCAGGGTGCTGGTGTCCAGCTATCCATTGCCACAGTGTTTAGCTCTTTGTGGCCTATGAGTTTTAGTCCATGCATTTAAGGATTATTTTTGGATCCAGGATCAATTGCAAAATTGCATGAGTTCATGTCTCATGATTTGAAGGCTCAAATTAATACGAGTTGTTGCAGTTATCACATATACTGATTCTTACTTGGTTTCTTAAGGTACTACTATTTCTTGCTTTGCTTGAACTTGTTTTTTTTAAGGTACTGCTTATGAAAATCGGGTGAAACCCTTTCATCTAATTTTTGTTGGTTGTGTGCTTGAACTTGTGTACTTTATTTATCTAGAGCATCAATGGGAGTGATGCTAAAGTGATGGCAAGAAGTAATTTTGTCACAAAATGAGGAAAATTACAATTTTGTGTCACTACCTGGTAGATAGAGACATTGCTCCTTGATATTTACCCTGTCCGTTTTACAATTTTGCGTCACTACCTGGTAGATGGAGATATTGCTCCTTGATACTTACCCTGTCCGTTTATATCTTTTATAAAGTTTTCTGTCGGCTGCAATATGGTTCGTAGATTATTTTTGTAAAAAAAAGTTGTGCTGAAAGGAAATAAAGAAGTTATAAGCGTGTGTTACTATCTGATAGATAGATGATGAATCAAGTGGAACACATGAATTTATTCCCACAAAGACAACCACCATGTTTAGACAAAGGACAAGTAACCAAAACAAGGGCCAAGAAGAAAAGAGATTGTGCACAATTCACTCAACTTTCAAATCCTTGAGCTTTACCATCAATGTCATCAACAAAGGGATTAGTTCGAGAATCCTAAAATTATTCTATTTTTTTAAATCATGGAGCAATGATGTAATGGTTGGATACATGGCTTTTTTTAGCATGCCCCTCGAGGCGGTAACACGCCCACTACTTTTCACAACTAATTCTACGGTAGATAA